GGGGGGGTCTGATAGTTTGGTCGGGCGACGACGACGCGGGACTGGGATGTGCGCGGGCGCGAGCTGAGCCTCGAACGGCGCCGACGCGCGTCCTCTTATCGATTCGCCCTGGCGCTGCGTTGGCGAGCTACGCATTTCGCTCTTGTGCGCGCGACTCTTCGGTTTCAGTATCGCGGGGTGGCTGACGGAGATTACCCTGCAGCCAGGTAGAACGAGGACGAGGACTCGAAGGACTCGATGGGCTCGAGCAGGATGCTGTTGCTGTTGTGGCCGCTGCTGATGGGTCTGGGACTCGAGGCAGAGGCCGACCTCGACGGCGAGGCTTACGGCCTCGATAACAGGCTGTCGTACGTGAGGCGAGAGAACGACGCCATCGCCAGGCTCTACGAGAACATCCTCGACGTGCTTCAGGTGGGCTACCACTATCACCGGCCGCTTCCATTCTCGGTTCGACCGTCCGATTTACGGGCAGAAGATGCGCCTATCGGAAGCGCCTGAACCTGTTGCGCCCCTTCCCCACCGCGCCCCTCCCCTACCAGTCGCCGTACCCCGCCGTCCCGACACCCGCGGCCCCACGCTCCCACGCCGATACCATTCTTCTCATGCGCCCTCTCGGTCCTTTGCAGTGCCGGCTACCCCGCGAGAGCGGCGCTCAAATCAAGGTCGGGAAGGATGCTCTGCTGGCCAAGCAACCTGTTCAGGATCAAAACTGGAGGAGTCCCAAGGGTCTCGGGCAGGTTTCCGGCGTGGCCATCGATCCGGCGGGACGTCCCGTCATTTTCCACAGGGGGGATCACATCTGGGACTTTGAGTGAGCGACATCTCCAAATGCTCCTTTACGGCTGCCAGTCTCTTCCCCCGTGACTCGCAATCGCGCTTTTTTTCATTATTTCTTTATTTCTTTCTTTCTTTCTTTCTTTCTTTCTTTCTTTCTTTCTTTCGTTCTTTCTTCCTTCCTTTTCGTCATTCTTTCATTGTTTCCTTCTTTTTTCCATTCCATCATCTTCTTCTCCACTCATATTTCTTCTCAACTTTTTCTCATCATTCTCATTGGGAGGCACATGACTCGTGTAGGCGACGCCGAAACTGTACATAATCAATTTCAAAGTGAAAAGCGCTCGGTTAGGGCATTATTGGGTGGAAAGCGTTCGGGTGTGAAGCCCGACGTGACCGACGGGGCTGAAGGGCCACACCTGCGTTTCAGACCGCCGGGAGTTTTTAAAGCTTCGGCGCGCCGATTAGCCACGATTAGATTTTCATTTTTTCGGTCCATCAGAGCTTAAATTCTACGTTGAGTCTACGTTGCTACTACGTCAAATATACGTCAAATATACGTCAAATATACGTCAAAAATACGTCGATTATACGTAGAATTTATGTCGAATTTACGTCGGATTTACGTCGATTCCACATCAAATCCATAACAAATTTATGACGAATCCTCAAGGGAATACCAGCATTTGCGGCGATTGGAGGTACGACCATTACGTTTATGCGTGGGATAGCAGCGCGTCCGTACTTTTCTTATCAAAATGATAACCCATCGCCCTATTATAGCATGGGTACATATAGTCGGTGGTATTTGTTTTGGCGTAATTGGCATAGTCAACGATCATGGAAGCATTAATCTACTGCAGACGCCCACGTATAAATGGAATATCTATCGGAGGAACGATTGCCGTGCGATTTTATAACGAATACTTTTAGCGCCTCCTCGTTTAATCGCGATATAATAAATCGGCGTGTGGGCATTTGCAGCTAACTGCGAGCTAACCCGACGCCGTCGTCCGCGTACCAAGAAAATAAGCGAACGCACGAGTCCTCGGAGGAGATGATAACGAGAGACGTACGAGGTAGGCGAAATGCCGCGCTCTCGTGCGCTTAAGCGAGGCGACGGAAAATCCGGAGTATCTCGAGTGGTGTCGAGAGAGTCGTGCGCGCCGGCACACGCTGGTTCCTAATTTATTTGCTCGACGTTAGGGACTGGACTGGAGGAGTGACGGCAACTGCCCTTTCACGGCTTCGATTCGGCTCGGCGCCTCCGTGGAGCTCCAGGCCCGGGGCGGAGGGGCTGGGACGACGGAGAGAGGACGACTCGGGAGTCCGTTCGCCCGCGCGTCCTCGCGCGGCTTTCCTCGCGACACGGGCAAAGACAGAAAGAAAGAGAGAAACCGAGGAGCCGAGGGTCCAACCTTTTGAAACAGATAGTATAATGCGCGTGTGCCGGAGTGGTGCGAGCGCCGATTGGGCCCAGGCATACGTGCAGGTATATAGGTGCGACCCCCGCCACCTCGACGGCAGCGTCGAACCAATAACACCTTCCTCTCCCGGCAGGCACACCCCGCCGCTCGCCGCTGGCCCACGGGAAGGCTTCAGGGGAGAGGCGATTTTTATCCCGAAAGCAGATAAAAAGGTTCGCTTTACGACCGCGGGAGGTACGGGTGAACGCGACGAGCCTTGCGACTGTGCCCCCATCGAGTAGATGCGCTCCTATAGAAGGAAATGCGAGCGCCCCTTCCCCTCCCGTCCCACAGCCCCAGCCCAACCGAACCTACCACCTTACCGCTCCCTCGACCCACTCGTCCCGTCCCGTACCACGAACCTCCGTTCTACCCCGAGGTCATTCCGTGCTCTTGCTCTCGTTCTTTTGTGCGAGCTGCATGAAGAAAAAAAACAAAAACAAAAATTGCCGTCGAAACGCGAATGCAGAAGTCCGCGGCGCCTCGCTTAGTCGCCGCCGCCGCCGCCGCCGCCGCCGCCGCCGCCGTTACCATCACCGCCAACGCCACCGCCACCGCCTCCTCCTACAATTTATGGCCCGACGCGCGAAAAATACTGTACGCTGCGCGTGTTTTACAATCCCGCGCAATTCGAGGATACTCTTTATTCGGGCCCGATCGCTCGCTTCTTCGTACTCTTTCGCGCGCACATACGCGAATACGTTCGCGTGTACCTCGTGGCGCACACGTACATCGGGGAACTGAATTTTTTGGACTCGTACAACGCATCGATAGCTGTGTCTTTCTGTTTAATGAGCATCCCGGCGGACCGCAAGAAGTGGATGGCGTGCACGTTTGCACGTCTCTGTCTGCCAATGTACTGCTGGCTTATTGTTATTATCACTATCACTATCGTCATTATTATCATTATTATCATTATCATATATTATCATTATTATCATTATTATTATTATAATCATAATCAACATCATCATCATCATCATCATCATCATCATCATCATCATCATCATCATCATCATCATCATCATCATCATCATCATCATCATCATCATCATCATCATCATCATCATCATCATCATCATCATCATCATCATCATCATCATCATCATCATCATCATCATCATCATCATCATCATCATCATCATCATCATCATCATCATCATCATCATCATCATCATCATCATCATCATCATCAGCATTATTATTACTAATTCATTATGCGTGGATGAATGGTAGATGAGGGCGGTGATGACGGCGATTATATCCGCGCTGCTTCTGACTGAGATTGGCCGTCTCTTCAAGGGTAAAAGAATTATAGGGAAGTCAAAAAAAAAACAACAACAAAAACAACGAGTGACCGCTGTAAATTATTCTTTCGTCGCCCCGCACGACGATCAAGCCGCGTAACGTTGAGCGAAAGCGCTTGGAAAAGCCTCGCTGGAGGCTGGTGGCCGCATTTTTGGACCAGACCCGATTCCCGACAGTCCCGGCCGCGGTCATTGTTGCTCAGCGCCCGTTGTGATTACGATTTTTTAAATGTCGCCTTAGCGAGTACATTCTCTCTCTCTCTCTCTCTCTCTCTCTCTCTCTCTCTCTCTCCCTCCCCCCCTCTCTCGCCATCTATGGCTTAGGAACGCCTCGCTCCGACGGCCTTTGAGCACCAGCCTTGGCAAGGCCGACTCCGGACGAGGCCGTCCTGAGCCATTCAGGCCCAATTCCCTGCGCCTCATCCGCCCATTATTCGCAGCTCCTTCGACGAGGAGAACCGCTTCACAAAGCGCATGGATGGGCCCATTGCCGTTAATACGGTGTTGACATTGAATCCAGAGAACGGCCAAGTCGAAGACGAATGGGGCAGCGACGCGTTCTACCTGCCCCACGGCATCTACGTTGACGCGGAGGGCAGCGTCTGGCTCACCGACGTCGCCCTCCACCAGGTCCTTAAGGTAAGCCGGCGCAATCTTCCTCCATCTACCACAACTCCCTCCCCATACCGACGATTTTCCATTTTCGTCAGTTACGCCAGTTTTCCTTGCTCAGTCATAGGTGGCCTTAACCGCGCGTTCTCGATTCCGCGCGCCACTGCCTACGCGCTGCTGTTCCGTCCTCGTGGCCCTCCTCGAGCCCGTGGGACGCCCTCCTGCGAGCCCCTTTCCCTCCCAGGCCCCCGAGATCCTTATCCGACTCGTAAATCACGCGCGATTAACTCGCGCATCGCCTTCATCGAACGATCGCCAGAAATTCAAGTTATGCTTTACACCCACGGCAACTTAACATACCCGCGCCATTTACGAGCGGCCGACGGCTCCTCGCACTCGCCCGGGACTCTCCTCGCGTCCCTCCCTCCCACATACCTCAGCGGTCCTCATAACGCATTCCAGGCCTCTTCGCGCGCTCCTCGTCTTTCACAATTTAGTAGCGGCCCGCGACCAAATTAGCGCATTATCGACACTTGACATTTGGCATTAATTTTCATTAAGGATCCCTCGGTCTCTTGGTCCCATAATTCCCAGTGGGAATTAACGCTGGAGGTATTAACCGGCGAGCTTGCCGAGCTCGTGGAACTCGGGTAAGTATCGTTTATTCGAATAGGCCCGACAATGACCGGGATTTGAAGAGTATTGGTGGAAAAAAGGCCGTTGACACGCCACGGGATCCCACGGACTTTTAGGGCACCGACGAGCTATGCGGGGCCCCAAAGTAAAGGCCTCCGCCGCTCCCCTCCGCGCCCACAGGCTGGCTTTTCTTTTCTCTTTTTTTCTCCTTTTTATTATTATTTTGAAAGGTCGAGGCCGTGTGCCGTCGGAACCGGGGCTTTTGTACGCGGCTCACCCGCGGCGCCGTCCCGCATTCGCCCGATTATTAATCATCGCTTTCCCAATCGGGTCCTCCCTCGCCACGGCCGCGCGTTTTCCCATGCGCTCTGGCCCGATTACACAGCGCCGTCTCTGTTGCAGTACCCGAGAAAGGAGGGTACGGCCGAGCCGGAGCCAAGTCTCGTCCTGGGCGAGCGCTTCGTCCCAGGTGGCGACGCCCGCCACCTCTGCCAGCCGACCTCGGTCCTCGTGCTGCCCGGCGGTGAGATCGTCGTCGCCGATGGCTACTGCAACGAGCGCATACTCCTGTTCGATCCAATGGGACGTCTGCTGGAGCAAATACCGCCGCGGGGCAACGAAGGTATGCCGGGGAACGGCCCGCTCCTTTCCTTCAGCTTTTGTTGCGGAGGCTGACGTCGCGCCCTTTGTCCCTCGTCCGCCACACTAATGAACAGCAATGAACGATGACAAATGAACGATGCGTTCATCGATAATAATAATACTATGATGAACCAATTTTCCATTGGTAAAAGCAGCCTGATTTTATTTGTATTGGTAATGCTGCGTTGCGAGAGCCGGACGGGCCGGGCCACTCGATCACCCGTTTAATAGTTACCCGTTTAACGTTTTTAAATCTTCGGCTTTTAATTGAATACTTTCGACAATAAGAAAATTTACGCTCTACCCCGCCCTACGTACTGTACTCCTCCATATAAGAAGTTTATAATGGGCCTTTTATCCGCCGTGTACACAAACGCGCGCGCGCACGCATATCATTGATCGAACCCATAAGAATACGTGTTCGTTGGAACAAAGTCGTAAAAGAATTATTATATGTTGTTAAAAATTTGCATGTAAAGGAGCATTCGTCCAATATTATTACTTTAGTTCGATGGTCTTGTATTACAATAAACTGTCCATGTTTATTTTGTAATGATAACTGTAGCGAATGATTTTCTTGTTATCTGGAATTCTCGGGATATTCTTAAAATCATAATTCAATATATTATATATATACACACACACGCACACGCACACGCACACGCACACGCACACGCACACGCACACGCACACGCACACGCACACGCACACGCACACGCACACGCACACGCACACGCACACGCACACGCACACGCACACGCACACGCACACGCACACGCACACGCACACGCACACGCACACGCACACGCACACGCACACGCACACGCACACGCACACGCACACGCACACGCACACGCACACATATGTACGGTATTATTTTATTTGATATGACATTAACATTTATTCTCTATCTTATATACAAGTATAGTAATGCAACTACAATTTCATCGGATAAAAACATAATATATTTTATATAAAAATCCTATAACCTAACAAGTTATTAGTTCTTACTCATTGCAATTTTTTTTCTTTTCTTATCTTTATAAAAATCTCAGTACTATCTCTTAATTAAATTCAATTGCTGATTGAAGAACAAAGAATGAAAAAGCTGATAATAATAAAGATTTATATTATTATTCTGTTTGACATGGTGGAAAAACAACTCGTACTTTATGAAATTTGCACTAGAGTATTTACATATTCGTTTTTAGGTCACTGTATACGTAATAGTTGTAGCTCAGGTTTCGAAATTCAAAATTGCGACTGTGGAACTCCGGGCACGTCAAAATACGAAATTATGCAAATGAAAACTTGCGCGATTAAGTTTTCGAATATATGCTAATTGTGAATTAAGATAAAAAAAAAAAATATATATATATATATATATATATATATATATATACATATATTGTGACATCTGTCGTATCTAAATTCAAATTTACGAAAGATTACAAAAATCCCGGCCCACGTATTTTCGCGTTGGTCGTTGAAATTTTGCTTGGCAATCTATAAATTTATTTCTATCTAACATAGTAAATTCAGTTTTAATTAAGTTTCTTATGCTTGCGCGTTTAATTAATTTATTTGTTAATTTATTTATTAATTTTGGTAAAAAAAAAAAAAAAAAAAAAAAAAAAAAAAAAAAAAAGGAAAAACCGTATTTGTTAACTGTTTAAGTATTCCAAGGTTTTGTGCGCATACGTATTCCCCGAAATCCCCTGACTTTGCTCATATATTCGTTTCCTTCGGCACGTCAAATTCGCAATACTGGATATACACGGTTTTACACAGGATTTATGATTAGCGTTCCGCGAAACTCGTACATTTATTATTTTGCACAGTAAGTTAACTCACTGATGGATTTATCAAAGATTCATTCTGAAGCTTCTCAAAAGATTCTATCGATGTATCAAGGATTAAATTCTGAATCCACTCGCAAGATGTTAACTAAAGGCGTAATGCAAAGCCATCACAGCTTCATTTACTCACAAGTACGAGTGCATTGGCATTATAATCCGCATTACCCGACATCTGTCATTTTGGGATTAGCGAGCCAGATAAAACCACCGAATGCACAGCTTTACACGATGAATTTTATCGCAAGCTTTATGATTTAAAGCTTATGATTTAATATACTTGACTATTAATTTAAGCGGCAAGCTTTCCTTTGCCTTTGTCTAAAAGTACTTTATTAGTTTATAAGTGTAAAAGCAAATTTATATAGATACACGATTACGCGCGCGCTCACACACGCACGCACAGAGAGAGAGAGAGAGAGAGAGAGAGAGAGAGAGAGAGAGAGGTACATATGGATATTGGTATGCATCGACTCTACATATAAAATGCGCTCGTCAAGACCATAGTAAATAATTTGAATAAATTATTACCCAAATATTTAATATTTTCATAGTATAAGGAGTAATCCTTACAACAAAAGTTATTATTAAGTGTATTCGTACGATTTGCAAGATAGCCGTCATCCTTATCCCTACGAGAAGCGTCAAATCTGTGAAAATGCAATGACAATACAATCAATGTATGACAAACGCAATGACAAAACGATGAATATGAACGATGAACGATGAAAATCCGGATTTTCACTATATCCGCATGAACGTTAAAACTCGTCAATGATTTATTTCACGGCTTAGACGATTTTTCATATATATATAAATGATTGAATCTTCGTGTAGACCAGCTCGCCCATAAATGCTTCTAATCTCTTACAAATGTAATTTCTAGATATGCTGAGACTGCGCGTACCTCACAGCCTGACGCTTGTGAATCACAACAATGTTTGCGTGGCAGACAGGGAGCATCAGCGAATCGTATGTTTCAATCTGACGAGGACGTTAGAGGAAGGTGCGCCCGGCAGAAAAGAGCAAATGCTCTCGTGGTTGCCCCTGGTTATCCATCGGCCAGGTGCCTGCAGGATTTTTGGCGTCACTTCGCACAGTGCGTAGTAATCGTCTTTCACTCTCCGTCCTCCCTTTCTCTCTTATTTCGCTCTCTCTCTCTCTCTCTCTCTCTCTCTCTCTCTCTTCCCTCTTGTTCTCTTGCTCTCATTTCCATCCTGTCTATTCCCCATACCCCCCTCTCTAACGCCATGCAATCCCATCCCACCTTTAACCCTTTATCCTCACCCTCCTACTCTCCCCAACACTCGGACCCCGGCCCGTCCGTGCCACCGTCCCACTATCACCACTCCCCCGTCGTCGCTGTCGCCGATCCTACCCGTAACCACGTTCCATCCTCCTACTCCTCCTCCTCCTCCTCACTCCTCCCTCGTCCCTCGTCCCTCCTCCTCATCCTCATCCTCACCACGTCGCTCGTCGCTCCCGCGTCCCTTTACACACCGGAGCCAGTTAAATTTAATAAAGTCGTCAAAATGTATAAGGACTTGGGTTACATATTATTCGACCGGATGTAACTGTACGTTAAGAAATAAATCACTTTTTCCTCCTTTTTTAATTTAGCAGCTTATAGCAACATGACACGTGAAATTATTCATGCACACGTTATCTCCTTGTCTTAATTCGCTAGTTTATAGCTAACCTTAATTATGGATTCATCTTAATGGCCGATTGGTGGGTCTTTGGTTGAATTTCGTCTTTACCTTCTCTTTTCGATCCTCATATTCCTTTATTGAATTTGTGATTCTCCTATTTATTGAAAAGGCGATGGTAATTGCGAGTGAATGGTTATACGATACTCCGCTTTCAAACTAACAAACATTGATAATTTATAACATTTTGACTAGCAAACATTGATAATTTATAACATTTAAGAACATTAAACGCAGATAATATGCTGTATGCCGTGAATGGACCGACAACGTCACACAATCCAGTTATGGGCTTCACTCTGGATCCGGAGAATGGTTCCGTTGTTTCCACGTGGGCTCCTACATTCGACGTAAGTAAACGCTGCGATAGAGCGAGACTCTGCAAATAGCAAGTTACTTATTATCTTTACGGTGAAAGCGGCTTTATAATGTTCCGATTGTGGTATGACATTTACAAAGCATAAATCATACTCTTATGCAGTACTACGTGTAGATCACGATGATTTTAAAAGATGCCCGACGATTACAATGTCATTACCGTGTCGTGCGTTAAGTATAATGAATTTGATAAATTACAACTGCTCAATTGATAATTGATAATGTCGGTAATTTATGTATCATTTACTATATAATTGGAAGTAGCGTATGGCTAGGAAAATTGTATTTCGAAAACAACGGGAAGCCAATACAGCACCTGCCCATTAATTTTCGATATTATTACATTAAAAGTGATATTGATTGTAAGATTTTGCATAAATTAAGTCAATGTTTGTATGTCGTTTATATGTCGAATCAATTATATTGCGAGCAATCGATCCCTCGGCATCGCTCGAAATTTCTTTAACTGACAAATTTTCGGGCAAAGCCTATATGCCATTATGCCATTATGCCATTAGCATTAAATTACGATGTAATTGACGATAATAATGAAGGAGTCAAGGCGATAAATGCAAGCGTTTTAACGTAAAGCAACAGGTACGGGACAGGCGCCACACTTTGTAAGCACCGAGCTCTCGAGCAGCTCTAAATAGCGAAAGAAATAAATAATAAATAGCGTAAAAATCGTTTGATAATTTGGTATAAATCGTTAATAAAAGGGTATGATCATGATCTTATTGAATGGATGGGATTGATAAAATCAGGGCAGATCGTGGGTATTGAGGTCGTTAAGGACCGGAGAAATTCGATAAAAGGGAATGTCGCTAGGAGGGAAATGGCCAGCTCGTTGAAGCCGTTTGCTTTCATAAAGTCAGGGGCGAATTTTAATAATGGACGCGGGAGATAATAAGGCACGTTCTGCGCGACTGGCAAAGCCGTGAAATCGACTCGTCGTGGCTCTCGCTCGCTCGGCAATGAAGACGAACGACGGGGGTCGGGGCGGGGGCATGCAGAGGGTGGAGAGCCGCGGTGGATGCACTCGCTCGATTGGAAATATCGCGTCCGGTCGTGAAAGAGCGCGCGCGCGCGATAAAACGAGAGCGGCGAAAGAGTAGCGTGAGACGACGGTGGATAAGGGAGAGGACGGGGGAGGGGGGGGGGAAGAGACGGCTGAGGTGACGGCGGAGGGAATTTCTTTTTTTTTTTTTTTTTTTGGGGGGGGGGGGGGGGGGGGAAGAGACGGCTGAGGTGACGGCGGAGGGAATTTCTTTTTTTTTTTTTTTTTTTGGGGGGGGGGGGGGGGGGGGAAGAGACGGCTGAGGTGACGGCGGAGGGAATTTCTTTTTTTTTTTTTTTTTTTGGGGGGGGGGGGGGGGGGGGAAGAGACGGCTGAGGTGACGGCGGAGGGAATTTCTTTTTTTTTTTTTTTTTTGAGTGGTGGTGATGGTGGCTGAAGATGAAATCGTCGGGCTCCCGCTGAAATTACAATAATCATCCTCTGTTGGATTTCAGTCGTTCAGCAATCCGCACGAGATCGCTGCCTGCCCCAACGGTACGGCCCTCTACGTGTCGGAAATCGGCCCGAACGTGGTGTGGAAGTTCAGGCTGCTAACGAACTGGAAAATGTAAATTGAGTTATAAAAATCCTATCTGCGAAGTGTATCGCTCGCTCGGGACTCGCCTATGATACGCGTCGGAGAAAAAGAAGAGGGAAGAACGAAAGTAAAAAAAGAGAATTGTGGCGGATGCGAATGTACAAGAGGCCGATGAAGAGGAAGATGTGGAGAAGGAGGGAGTAAGTGCGAGAGAGAGAGAGAGAGAGAGAGAGGGGGGGGGATACGAAGTTTCTGAAGTATTCTTCACGGGTATGGGTAAACATATATTCGAAATTCAAATGAAAGCGAGGCCGTAGCAAGAGCTCCTCCAACACTTGAAACCAGTTTCGGTTGACTTTTTTCCTTTACAAGATTCATTAACACTGAGCAAATAGAATTCTCGAGTGTAAATACAATTACCCCGAGCATATAGACTCATTGTATTTACAGAACGTTATAAAACCTAATAAATTTTTATTCCACTCTATCGACGAGATCAATTATTATTGTTGCTGCTGCTGCTGCTGCTACCGCTGTTGCTGTTGCTGTTGCTCTTGCTGTTGCTGTTGTCGCTGTTATCGCTATTGTTGTTGTTGTTGTTGTTGTTGTTGTTGTTGTTGTTGTTGTTGTCACAAGCAGATTTATGAATAATAAAGTACGTTGTCGTATTATTGTTCGGCCAATTAAAACCAAAGTCAGCCTCCGGACTTATCACTCGTTACGATAAAACGGCTAATTGCGTCGATTAAGAAATTCCTTCTATAATTCCCGAAAATGCGTGGATTTATTGTATTAAACGATCCCGGGAATAAACCGCATCATCCATTCCAAAACCCCTTATTTTAGGACAATACCGCTCTGCGCAACATTTAATGTTTATTGGAATGGCAGACCCTCTCGGAACATTGGATATTAACTCGGCCAAAGTGAATTTGTACAGCCTCGATCGGCTTTTGTTAACCGATACTGTGTTTTCATGTAATTCTAGAAAGTATAACGCAATGTTAATAGCTTATGACGCTGTGCATTAATAATTGAATTTGCGCGATCGAGGCAATTTTACGGGGAAAATTCACAATTCAAACGCAGCAAATAATTATTGTCAAGGAAGTAGCTGGAGAGGCAGGGAGTCTGGACGGTTTTTCCGACATTTGTCGAGCCTCCCTCGACAACGGGCGAGACACTCTCAACCTAAAAAATACCTTTATTTTACAAACCTAAGCAATTTTTATACAACCGCAGCGTCGACTTCGCTTGTTTTCCAATAGTTTTTATTACCTTTCTGTTATAGTAATCCGATCTGTAAAACCAATTACGTTCTCTTCTTTGTTGTAAACTACATCTTTCCATTAAATTCGTTAGAAATAAATGTCTAGTTTATAAGTCAAACTGATGTTTTTTTTGTGTTTTTTTTTTCTTCTTTCTTTTTTTATTCTCGCCCGTTTCCCGATCCCCAATGTTACACATAAATTCGACACGTAAGCCCAGCTCAGCGGAACTCTTCGAAAGTTGGCTCGCCCGCTGCCCTTTCATTGTATGGCAAACCATAGCTGCGCTTTTCGGGAAAGCGGTATTAAGGATCGAGGACCGAATTTCGTGATGGGGGGTGGGGTAGGGCGGCGGGGGGGGGGGGGCCCAAGGCTGCGCGCAAATCTTGAACTGGGAGGACCAGAATTATTTTCGATAGTCGTGCGGGCTGAATCGCCCGGGTCCGACAAAACCCGTGTCCATGACACCCGCGAAATGTCTCAATCGCACGGCTCCTCCAGGTCTGCACCATCTCGACACCTGGCGTCACACCATCGAGAAAAGCTCCGATGAATAGCGTCTTTCCCAGCATAAAAGAAGCCTTCATCCCTCCTCCGAAGCTGGAAAAGTGCGTCGATGAAAAGAGAAGAGAAAGGAGAAGGAAGTTAGTTGAAAGGTCGCTACGTTTCCCGGGGCACGCGAGGAGAGGAGGACGCCACGGGAGAACTCGAGGGGCTCCCTCGCTGCGACTATGGCTCGGAGTCTACGCCATTGAGGCGACAGCGAGCGCGATGCTGGACTAATGAAGACGTGTGCTAGAGGCCGCAGGAATGGTCGACGGCGCACTCGTCCCCGTTTCACCGCCGACTCTCCTCCGTTGCCCCTCCCCCTCCCGCCCCGTATCCCACAAACCCTCTTTGCCACCACCACCGCCACCTCCTCCTCCTCTTCCTCCTTCTCCTCCTCTTCCTCCTCCTCCTCCTCCTCCTCCTACTACTACTACTACTACTACTACTACTACTACTACTCCACCTCGGGTCCACTCCCCCTCTCGCCGCTCTCGCCGTCACTCGCTATCTTACTCTCTCTCTCTCTCTCTCTCTCTCTCTCTCCTTCGCCACGCCTCACTTTTTTTCTGCCTTTCATCTTTTACCTCTCTCGATCCCTCAGGATTCTCGCTCGCAGCAGCGCGGTTCTTTCAAAGCCCCAACGAGTTCCGAGAGCAAGAGGGATCGTGAGAGACCGAGAGACAGAAAGAGAGAGGGAGAGAGGGAGAGAGAGAGAGAGAGAGAGAGAGAGAGAGAGAGAGAGAGAGAGGGGAGGAGAA